CCCCAACCCTGGAAACATTCCAGGCCAGGTTGGACGGGGCTGTGAGCAACCTGATGGAGTTAAAGATGTCCCTGCTCACTACAGGGGGGTTGGACTAGGTGACCTCTAAAGGTCCCTTCCAACCCAAAGCATTCTGTGATTCTATGATTTGCAAAAGGAAGAAAAAGGATTTATATCAATTATAGCACATGCTGGCGTGCAAGAAGGATGTGGGTTGCTGTGGGAGAGGACTGTTCTGCAGTAAAGTGGGAAGAAAGGAGTCAGGCATGCCTGGCGCAATGCTGCTCTGCTGCAGGGGCAAGGCGTCCCACCAAAGGGGCACCAACAAGCTACGTTCATGAACGTGAATCCTGTTCAGGTAGGGGGTGACATACAACAGGCTGACGGCATTTGCTGCCTGAATGGCTACTGAATGTCCACTAGGAGGACACAGGAAGCCAGTGGGAAGGGGCTCGTTACTTAACCTGCCGATAGACACAACACCCGACTCGGTATATTCAAAGTCAGACCCCCTAGGAGTGGGCTACTTGTCTCACAGGGCAAACAAAAGCACGGACTACAGTATCTGCAAATCAAAAGACAAATTCCATCAAGATGCGCAAGCTACACAAAACTTAAAAATACTTTGAATCGATGCAAAAAACTGACTAGATTTCAATCTAGCACCATATAAACACTTCCATTCCTGAATTTACTAACCAGCTTTGCATCTCTGTTGCGTTTTGAATGCGTATCGATCACAGTCCTCTCGTGTGATGTTGTATTTCGCAGCCAGATTTTCAGCCGTAACTGCCATCGGTATTTTAACATGCGTATCTGTTAGACCTTCCCACAGCGTGTCCTCCAACTGCATGGAACATCATGAAAAGAAAATTGTAAAGCATAGCAATATTAACATTTATTATTGACAGTTTCTCATTATTCAGCAGATGCTTGGAAACTAATGCCTCTTGGTAAAACTAACTCAGGTTACCCACAGATACTTTATTTAAATTAGAACAAACACACTGCAGAACAGTATTAAAGTTCTGGTGTGTTGGTTTAGTTCATCTACGTTGTGCTCTGTGGTTCTTTCCACTCAACGTGGCCCTGAGGGGTTTGGGAAAAGCCTATGATTCTCAGCATTTCAGCGTATTTCACTGCTGCGTGAATTATTTATTAGAGATCCCTGAGAAAACACATGTGTCTTCCTGGTTACCAAGAAGGAAAGGTGAGGAACTGTGAAAAGGCACAGCAGCCTACTGACTCTTTGGCAATTTCTCTACTGCCAGGTAAAATCATCTTACTTGAGTCAAAGGTTTCTGTGGGTAAAACATCTTGGGTGAGAAAATACCCCAGTCTAACTTCACTTAACTGGCTAAAGGCAAGCCCAGTCAGTTCAGATGGGTTTTGTCATCTCTCTGTCACCAGTAAAGTTCTGCAAGATAAATCACTTATTCACCTGCAACTGCGTAATACAATTATCATCACAAGAACCTAACGGCACCTGTGGAGACTCAGTGTTATCAGCAACCTCATGAAGGCGTTCTCTGTAGGTACTGAGGCTTAGCCACAGCACCACGGAAGATTCACAGAACAGTCAAGCATACTTCATATTCACCATCATCATGATGGAAAAACAGTATAGAAAAAACTGTCTGAAACACTAAAATATCCTCTTGACCCACTGCATAAATGGGAATTATCAGAGCAGAACTGGATCCTGCTGCAAATTTCCCGCAGTATTCACTCAGGGTATATCTTCAGAAGATAAGGTAAAAACAATTTCTCTGTCAAGGGATTTAATTTCAATTTATGAGTTTTAAAACTTACAACCTGGAGGTATACATGTTCTTTACCAGTCTATCTACCCATTGCTAGCCTCACTAGCCTCACCAAAACTACGTCTGCATTTATTTCACAGCCCCTGACGTCAGACAATTTTCAATATGATATACAATACTTTGATGGGATGTATCAAGTGAACTAAGTTTTGTCTCTAAGAGTTTATTGATAGGTTTAACACGGAACAGGATTTCAAAGATGGTTTTGGAAAAGTTAGAAAACTGGTATGCTTAATGAAAATGCCTCAACCTACTATTTTGATAATGTCTGAATGCTGGATAAATGCTTTGAACAACTAAACCCAGATCTAATCTCCAACAATTTCATTTGCAAGGATATAGTGTCTACAGACCCGACACTTCGCTCTGTAAATATGACTTTATTCACAGGAAAAAAAAAAAAAAGTGAAAAAAAAAATACTAGACCTTGAGTTCTGCTCCTAGTCTGGTTCCAAATCGAATGTTTCGAACTGCATAAGGAGCCTGGCTCATGTTTTCAGCTCCACCACACAGAACAACTTCTGAGTCATTAAGGCAAATTTCCTGTTAACAGAAAACCAAAACAGATCTAGGATTTAGTTTGCCGTTTTTGTAAGACAACAACAACTGTTTTAGAAAAAGACCTCCTCACCTACAAAGCCACACGCAGAGAATGAATTCATGCTTGGCCACGTGTATATTTATGAAGGGTTTACCCTTCTGTTAAGGTTGGGGTCTGCCTCTTTCATTACATGTTCCTTACTCTTCCTTTTCAGCAAGGAATGATTATATTGACGAGGGAGGAAGAGAATATGGGTGCCCACCTATGACAGGATGGAGGAACAAACCCATTAAGCATCTGCATGCTTGTCTGGGTAAGCCCACCGATGGCTGAGATTTTTTTTTTTTTTTGAGCTCCCAATCTTCTCAAAAGGAACAAACACAAATTAAAACTCAAAGCCTGAAACTAGACCTTATGATTCTAAAAAAAATTGGGACATTATTTTAGAAGGCATTAGCTGGGGAAGCTGCCAAAAGAAACCCCCAAAACAGACTAATTCATCATTGGCAAAGTGCACAGAACCTAAAAGCCCTGATTCCTAAAAGCACCATTGGACCAGTCAAAAATTCTGCTTCCTTAAAACAATTTGCTCAGTTGGACAGTTGAGGTTATTTAATGGAAGCAGATGAAATTATCTTGGTATGCATTTGAGATGACTAGTTAATAATTAGTGTGACTGATTTGTAGTGATACATGCTGAGATGCTTCCTGGAGTTACCAAAAACTTCGTGTACGTTTACGCAGCTCAGAATAGAATCTGCAGCTTTGTTGTGTGCCAGAGAAATACAGAAGCATTAGCTGCGTTGATGAAATGCCAACTTTGGAAAAGACCTCACAACCGTACTTTCGATATAAGTCAAATTCTCCAACAGATTTTTTCAGTGTAGATTGAGGTGTGTATAGCCTTTGCAGAAAGCACTAGAAAAAAAAAAAGTCAGATGGATACTATTGTAAACACATAACCTTAACTCTACACTGCCTTCCACAATTTTCCCTTTAGAGGATCAGATCCAGCCAATGAGAGCTTTTAAAAAAAACCAAAACCAAAACAAAACCTATGTGGTTGCTTAAATATTCCTAAAACACCCTTTGATTCTGTAAAGTCCAGACCACTGGTAGTCACAAACGACTGGTCTGTATGAACAAATGAAATAAAAACCACTGTACCACCTTACTCAGCGGTTTTGGCCAACTGCTCAAAGAGAAGGTGATTTTCTTCTATTTTAAAAGAAGTGACGCTATAAATTATCTAACCCAACAGAGGGTTTGGATCTTTGAACACAAACACACTTAAAAAGCACAGGTTGCTGTTTACCCAGCTAGCTAGGTGAGAATATAAACAATGCCCAAAAGATGAAAGCCCCCTCTTGTGGTTTTGATGCCCAGTAATTCCAATTCATCCAAACAGGAGCACAGAATGCAACTATTGCACAGCTGAGCTCTATTTCCCTGGCTAACACTTGTTGCATTCCTTATATTAAACTCAAAATAGCTATGATGATGATTTTTAAAAACACCCACAAAATACGGCACTGTGGAAGCTGAACTTCTGCACAAAACCATGCAGGACAACAGGAAGTTCGGTGGGAGTGTGGATCTGCTGGGGGGAGGAGGGATCTGCAGAGGGACCTGGCCAGGCTGGAGCCATGGGCTCAGCCCAATTGGGTGAGGCTCAACAAGGCCAAGGGCCAGATCCCACCCTGGGGTCACAACAACCCCAGGCAACGCTCCAGGTGTGAGGCAGAGGGGCTGGAAAGCTGCCCGGCGGAAAAGGCCCTGGGGGTGCTGGTCGACAGGGGGCTGAATATGAGCCAGCAGGGTGCCCAGGTGGCCAAGAGGGCCAGCAGCATCCTGGCTTGTATCAGGAGTGGTGTGGCCAGCAGGAGCAGGGCAGGGACCGTGCCCCTGTGCTGGGCACTGGGGGGGCCGCCCCTCGACTGCTGGGGTCAGGGTTGGGCCCCTCCCTCCCCGAAGGACCTGGGGGGGCTGGAGCGTGTCCAGAGAAGGGCAGCGGAGCTGGGGAGGGGTCTGGAGCCCCCCAGGGAAGGGGTGATGGGACGAGGGGCACCGGCCTCAAGTTGTGCCAGGGCAGGGTGAGGTTGGCCATGGGGAACAATTCCTTCCCCTTGGGGCTGTCAGGCACGGGAAGGGGCTGCCCAGGGAAGGGGTCGAGTCCCCACCCCTGGGGGGATTTAACAGCCGGGCAGCCGAGGTGCTGAGGGCCAGGGTTTGGGGGTGGGATGGCAGGGGTAGGGGAATGGTTGGGCTTGATGATATGAAAGGTCTTTTCCAACCTAAATGACTCTTTGATTCTATGAAGTCTCTACCAGTATTAGGTAAAAATCCACGTTAAGACTCATCCCAAAAATGAAGTACACGTTTCTACACCCATTTCTTCTCTCATGTTAACAGTCTGATAAAGGTTACAACTAATACAGAAAAAAAACAGCTCTGTACCTGACATCCACTGGCAATGGACTGGAAACCAGAGCCACAGAGTCTGTTGACAGTGAGGGCTGGAACTGGGACAGGAACTCCCACACGTAAACCAACGTGTCTTGCAATATAAATCGCATCTGCGGCGCTCTGCAGACAGAACAAATAGGAAGTTTTGTTACACTCTAATTTCTTTGCAAAGTCTTGATGAAAAGTCAGAATGGTGTAATTGCATCACTGACAGAAGACAGCGTATGTTCAACAGAAATCCTACTTGTCATGAGCAGCACTTTGATTCACTTCAAAAAGACACCACCCTCTATGATGAAAAAGGGACCATGTCTTAACATGCATTTTAAAGAAACTGTGTGTCGTAAAAGCGAGACATCAGGCCGAAGATGGCACTACAGATGTCACAGCTGAAGTCAGCGACTTAACAGCCTGATGTTTTTCCCTTATCCCTTATTTTCAAAACGTCCCACCCGTAACAGACTGACATCAGACCAGATCCTGACTGGGCAAGCAGCAATTATTTCAAGGCAAATCAAAATTGCTCAGACTAACAGGGGAAGGCCCCCAAAAACCTGACAGCGTGGAAAATGTGGAGAGGACATTGCTGCTTTGTGAGATTTTGTAACTGTGATGTTCTAACTGGACGCTGGCCTGCTCCGACAACGAAATCCCATTCCTCCAAAGCTTTTCAAAGATGGTTGTATCAGAACGCTGTTTGAAAAGCAAAGTAGTGCACACAGAGCAGTTTGCTTCCTTTCATAAACCAGGCTCCAAGCTGAGATGAAACAAAAACAGTTAGGCTTTTGCATTTCAACTACTGAGCCAGCAGATGATGGCGAGAGCAGGTACAGAGTAAAAAATTGTAACAGCACTGCTACAGCTTTGTAATGGATCTTTTCCAAACAGAGAGAACACTTCTGCTCCTGGGGATCATGCCCTAAGTGAATATGTATTATAAAGACAAAGTTCTGTGCACAAAGCTATTTGCCAATGCAACTTCAGGAAAAAAAAAAAAAATCAAGCCACTTTTGCTGAAGTAGGAGAGTTTAAAATGGTCATACATTCATAGTTATTTAAACTTAATCATGTGATACTTAAAAGGAATCCCAGACTAAAAAAAGAAAATCGATTGGAATAGGGGAGTATAATAAAAAGGAAAATAAAAGTCATTTCAACACGAACAGACTTTTTTTTTTTAGTAGGAGAATGCTGTCTTTTGCGTGAAAGCATTACAAGAGATTTGGATGCAGCCAGTTTTTTTTCTAGCCCACAAACAGTTCTTACAAAACCTAAAAAGTTGAATAAAAGAAGCTGAGATGGTAGCTGTAGGAGACAGCATCATCAAAAGCCACTCTTCTGGTTGAAAATGCTTAAGAAGGAATACTGCACGTTTGTTCACTTATCATGAATGTTCTCAGGTATTTGTTTCTTCTGCACCCTTGAAACACTCAGTGCAAAATCATAGAATCAAAGACTGTTTTGGATTGGAAGGGACCCCTAGAGGCCATCTAGTCCAACCCCCCTGCAGGAGCAGGGACACCTTGAACCACATCAGGTTGCTCACAGCCCCGGCCAACCTGGCCTGGAATGTTCCCAGGGATGGGGCCTCCACCCCCTCTCGGGGCAACCCCTGCCAGAGTTCCACCACCCTCAGTATAAAGAAATTTCTTCCTTAGATCCAGTCTAAACCTCCCCTGCTTCAGTTTAAAGCCATCCCCCCTTGTCCTGTCCCAGCTGGCCCTGCTAAAAAGCTTGTCCCCCCCTTTCCTCTGGGCCCCCTTTAAGCACTGAAATGCCTCCGTACAACGTGCAGACACGCAGGCGATGTATAGCGGTGGAAGGAGGAAAAGGAAGGACAGGACACCGGAATTATTTTAAATGTGTTGACCTCTGGTGGACCCCAGATATAAACTTGGGTGTTTTCCCTTTAAACTCGGGCGCTCTTTGCAGCTGCCCCCGTTGCCTGACCTCCAGAATCGCAGTGGGTGTGCTGAAGACGTGGCACGGCAGCTGTCCACGCTTCTCCTGATGCAGCCCAGGGTAGGGTTGGCTTCTGGGCTGCCAGTGCACATTGCTGGGTCATGTCCAGCTTTTCATCCATCAAAAATAAGACTGCTTACCCTGAAGTCAGACTACAGAAGAAAACAGAAATGCTCTTTGCTGTCTTGCCTAAAACAAAGACCCTAATCTAGATATGTGGATAACTGCAGTTCTGCAGTGCTGTGCCCTGCATACAAAGGCATCTACATCGCAAGCTCTTTGGAAATGATATGATTGTCCAAATGTCTCTGCCAAACAAGGCACGCATCCCTTCAGCTCATAAGTGAACTCCCATTCACTCAAAAAAAATTCTATTTAGGAAACTCAAGGGAAATGGGTTCAGATCAGTTACAGTCTCCAGAAAGAAAGGGATTTACACAATGCAGCGAAAACTCGCTGATCGTTGAGTTCCACAGCTCAAGTCATTGAAACAGGAAAAAAGCACCAGGGATTGCCAACTAACCGTTCAATGAACCCACATTTTTAAATCACCTTGTCCAAGTTTGAACTACCTCTGGTACTTAAAAAAAAAAAAAAGCTAAGCCTTGCTCCCAATAATATCACAAATCATGGAGGGCATGTCCCTTAAATGTGAACAGGCAACGCTACGCTACAAACACTACTTCCCCATTCCATTTCCACCCCTTTGGTTTCATCTTGGCTGCGAAGCAGAAGTAACTATCTATAGGACCACACCGAAGGAGGCGACTGAAATAATCACTGACCGGCAGATCTGGCGTTGCTACCGACCTGCATGACATTTCCAACAATGACACTGTCGATGATCTCAGGAGAGACCTTGCCAGCAGCCAGCGCAGCTCGAGTAGCGTGTTCTGTCAGGTCGGTGGCTGTGAAGTCCTTCAGCAAACCTCCGTAGGTCCCAAAAGGAGTTCGCTTCGCTGCAACAATGAATACACCTGCAACAGAAGCGGGAATTATCCAGATGTGCAGAGCCTAACGAACAGAAAGTTCTCCAAGTCAGCCTCAACCGGACAACATCCTAAATTCACAAGGAGCTTTGTAAATATAGGCAACGTGAACGCACGTGCTTCAAGATAAGTAAGACATAGGATATGGCAATGCTTTAGGCAGGGAAGGTATGCAGAATTAACGGTCAGAAAGAAAAGCTGGGAAGATTCCAGAAATACCATTTTTCCCCACAAAGAGATTTGAAAAAAAAACCCCAAACAACCAGGTAGCTTGGATACCAGCCAGCCAAAGGAGGCTGCCCTACCACCTCTGACATTGGTGCTAAAAGCATGGAAGTACACCCATGAAATCCCACAGTGGACATCTCTGAAATAATCAGATGAGGAAGAGTTCTTCTAAAAACCGACGGGGCCAATCCCTCATCCTAGAAAAAATCAGCAGATGTTTGGCTTGTACTCTGAAAAAGTTTTCACAAAGAATTAAAAAAAACCACCGTAAAGCAAAACAAAAATACTTTTAATATGCATTTTAACTTTGATTCCCTAATCAAAACTTTCACGATTATTTCCAGAATTACACTGGTCATTGAAACGGCGCCAGCATCAGTCTTCCAGTTTTGGAGAAGAAAATCCAGTTTTCAGCGGACAAGAGAGCGTCTGCAAGCGCCTGCGTACAGATGCACTGGTCAGAAGTAATCTATACGAATACCAGCTTGGGAGAAGCTGCCTCCGAACCAAAACTGGACATCTTATGGACCCCTTGCCACGGCGGCTCCCCGCTTCTGCGTGCGGAAACGAGCGGAAGGCATCCAAGGAACTTTCCCCCAGTTGAACAAGAGACCTCACACGCTCATTTTCTACAGCTGCCAGGAAGCGCCCGCAGCTATTTTAGGTAACGCTGGAAGGACAGACACAGATAGATAGAATAAGACAGGCAAGTGAACATGCCCATTCCTTAAGCTGCTCACAAACACCGTTTTCAGGGGGATCCGTGCTCTTTGGCTGGTTTGTCAGAGGAAGGTGCTCCTCTGTTTCTCGTGTATTTGGATCCCAGTCTGCGTGATTTATAGAAAAGGACTTTCCGAACGGGTCAAGGTCAAGCTTGCTCCACACTGACAAGGACTTGAACATGATTCTGGGATCTGAAACAGGCAATGAATCCGCTCAGAAGATCATCTGGGAAATACCCTGAAGTAGCCTAAGCAAGAATTGCAGCTTCAAGGACAGGGATGAATGCTAAAACCACCCTGGCTTGCCAAGCCATCAAGATAGCAAAATCGAGTAACACCCTCACACCCTGATGCTGCCCATGGGCTTCTTTCTGGGGTACCCAGAAGACCGTAGAAAGACGCCTTTGCTAAGCACCCTGCTGCTTCTCCCTTAAAATGGAGCGCTGATGTGGTAACGATTCCAAACCTGCGAGCAAGTGGATGAAAAAAAGATCATCAGGAGTACCCAGCATGGATTCACCAAGGGGAAATCATGCCTGACCAATCTGATAGCCTTCTATGATGGCATGACCGGCTGGGTAGATGAGGGGAGAGCGGTGGATGTTGTCTACCTTGACTTTAGCAAGGCTTTTGACACTGTTTCCCATAGCACCCTCATAGGGAAGCTCAGGAAGTATGGGTTGGATGAGTGGACAGTGAGGTGGATTGGGAACTGGCTGAATGGCAGGGCTCAGAGGGTTCTGATCAGTGGGGCAGAGTCCAGTTGGATGCCGGTAGCTAGTGGAGTTCCCCAGGGCTCGGTACTCGGCCCAGTCTTGTTCAACTTGTTCATCCATGACCTGGACGAGGGGACAGAGCGTACCATCAGCAAGTTCACTGATGACACAAAACTGGGAGGAGTGGCTGATATGCCAGAAGGCTGTGCT